TGAGCAAACAATGCAAACTCCAATTGCGGAATCAAAAAGAATTGACTTTTGTGTGGAGTACAAACATCTACACGTCAATATGAATAATACTGGAACGAAAACATCGGATGATTTCGCGTTCCTGTTACGCATTTGTTTGCAATTCAATCAAGCGATATTGTGTGCAACGTTCATACCACTTATCTCTGTCATGCATTTTGTTCCAGAGATGCAAAAAAATGAGACTATTAGCGAACAGTAAACGTTAAAAGAAAAGTAACACGAAATAAATTACTCTTATGCACTGAATTCTGAAAGGTTGCATTTTAAGTTACCTAACAAGGTAAATTATTGTACAAAAACGTAGTTTGCATAACCATCCCAGTTATTCAAATCGAGTGTATGAAAAGATGCGAACCATGCAACAGTCGTAAAGATAATCTCAAGGTTCTCTCAAGGTCGTTCCATCCGAGATTTTGCAGCATTAACGTCTTGAAACATTTCATCGGATTAAACATGCAAAGTATATAGAGGTGATCCTCGGTCTTTTCCTTTTTTTAACGGGTTCAATGCCCCACGATTTCAAGCGCTTTTAAATTCAACATCGATCGTTTAAATTCTTATGCTAATACGAGGCGATAATCATCAGGCTCCGCTCTCGTTCGCCACACACGAACCGGCGCACACAGTCGCACACGGTGACCAAATTCCCTCGAGTCCTCGGGGACCGAGCGATCTCGTAGAAGTCAAATCGAGAAAGTACGGTTCGCTCGATTTGGGGCGAAATACTTCAGGCGTCGTCAGCGTCCAAAGCGTATCGGGCGTTTTACGTAGGCAAGACGTCACACGCAAGTTTCGTTGTCGAAAAGTAAAGGATATAAGCCGGGATAATAGAGTTGGTACACCCTGTATATACGACGGGGGCCGTTGGCTCAAATTGCCTCTCGCCCGCTCGAATCTTATCGGCCGGGGGGCGGCGTGATTGTTACGAGTACTCGCTTCGGCTGCATGGCGTGCTGGATACGGCTTTCGCTCGCATTTCTCTCCGCGCAATCGTGCGCGAGTACGTGCGAGGTCGCACGAGTGCACCCATATAATATCGATACTCGAGTTGGTACACGATGTATCGCAGAATCGGCTGTCGGTTTAATCCTCGACGCGCGAAACGCTCGCGCCGAGCAAATAGAAGCAAAAGCGCCGTGTAGCCGACAGAACCGGCGGAAGCTGCCCGTACGCGCGTATCCAAAAACCGTATGGCGGACGTTTCATCATGGCGAACAAATTTTTCACCGGATAAACCCCGGAAACTGCTGCCTCGTCGACTCCTGCGACTTGTTCGTTCATTAACCTCTCTGATTTTAGTCTTCGCACTTCGTTATGCTAATCGGATGATTCTTGGAGATTGACCTTTTTTGACACGTTTTTTCAACAGCCAAATCTTATCTTGACCCTTTGTCCTACATCGACACTTGACACTTGACTGTGTCTTGACACTTTGTCCTACTCGACGCACACTACAGTCATACTTGACAAGACATCATCAAGTAAATTTGTGATTTTCATCACAAATTTTGGGTTCATTTTCAATTACCTTCATAATCGACAGTTGACATGTCTTACTTTTTAACTTTCTTTATTCATCTCGCAGCAATAATTAGTCCTTTACGAGTCCAGAATATTGCAGGCTAATAAACATCACGTCTACGTACAGTACAAGAATCTTTTGGTCAAGCTCCTTTTGAACGACATCAAATTACTGCGCTGTCTTAACTCTTTGAAGCAAGATAATAAGCATACTAGGGCTGCTTTTATCGTTCAGAACTTTTATGTACTTTGTGTCTACTGTTCTCAATTATTTTATAATGAAATTTTCTCAGTGTATTAAGTTTATTCCTCAAAGAATTGAGTAACACTCGAAGCAATTTTTTAACGAGCCCACCGGTTCGAGCATCGAATTAATTCACACTTACACGCGTGGAGCGAAGCGTATATCTTAAGATAATTATGGGCGATGGAAAGGTTGGAGCGAGTGTTCAACACTCCCGAAAGACCCGCGTTATTATGATATTAGTATCGCCAGGGTACATGTACGGGCGTGTACACACATTGGTGGGCCCGCGTTGGTCACGGAGAAATTGCTAAATCTGCTGGCCGCAATGGGGCGTGCCACCGAAAATAACCTGCGGCTGCGAATCGATTAGATTGCCTGTTCCGCGTTGCCAAAGGAATTCTTTGCGGTACGCGCGTCGGTTAATTGGCAGGTAATCGAATAAATGGCCAACCGGTTCATCCTTGTTGGCGAACGGTGCGCGAATTCCAGCGGTATCCGACTCTCCCGAAAAACATTCCCCAGGGGAACCCACCTTTCCCCGATTTTACCGATCTCTAAACTCGTCGAAAGAGAAAACTTTCGCCGGTGAATCGTCGTTAATTCTGGCCGAGTTTTCCCTTCCTCCGACGAACAACCCAAGTAGGATGGTAAACGGTCGGGCACGGACGAGCAAATGTTACGTAAGCGAGGCACACATTTTTCGGAACTCGTTAGAAAGGCAATTTAACTTGTCCGCTCGCGTCCCACGTTAATACGACCACGTTATCGGCTTTCCGCGACTTTTCCCGCCTTCAACTTCCAGCCCGCGAACGTCGTGTTGTCCTAAACAACGCTCGGAGGGCCATTTGAATTTTCAGCTGGATACCTCTCGTGTTTTGTTTCTCCTTTTTCGCCTTCGTTTTGTAACTGTTTCGTCGACGCGCCCGCTCATTGTGGCTCTCGTGGCTAACAGGTCATTTCGAAAATTCGTAATGTTTTTCGGACCGTAACGGGGACGAATTACCGCTTTTTGTTTGGAAGAGACAAGTGATGCGGTAGGGAGGATTATGTGAAGCTCTATCAAATATCTGTGAAGCAAAAGTTATTTTGCCTCGAGACATCTCATGGTAAAATCTTGTCTAGTCGAATATCTCACAGATTTCTAAATAACTTCTTTTGCGTACACAACTTTCTCTACATGTTCTCAATAAAAACGTATAGCAAATTTAAAAGTAGGACACTTTATGTAAACATTTGAGCTATTTTTCTGTAACCTAACCTACAACCTATTTGTACAGGGTCTGAAGAATCTATGTAAAATACTGTAATTTCATTCAAAGTGAAAAGATGTACATAAGCAATTTTACTTGATGTCTGAAAATATTGGTTTGAATATTTACGTATGTTTCTCTCACGAGCAGCGTCGTCGATGTCGGGCCAATTCACGTCGCGACATAAAATATTTCGTCGCGTCGCTGTTTCCTGTTTCCTCTGTTCTCCTTCATTTTTCTGTCGGACGAAGCAAGAAGAAAAGAGGGAAAAAAGAGAAGGAAATCAATAGGTGGCCGCAGGAAATTGAATTCGACCCGCGTAAACTGGCCAGCGTGTATCGCAGCTGCGTGCCGCCGATGGCTACTGCGAGAAAAAAAGAGGAAGAACGAGCGTGAAGGAAATGGCGCTGTCGGTGGAACGCGACCGATTCTCCATCGAGATTCATTCGATTTCTAGTCTGAAAATATGTTCAATCCTTCTACACCGTCTGTTCCCGGTCATCGAGCTGGATATCTATTCCAGGCTGACACTGAATGCGATTGATAGAGGGTGCATGTGGTTTCTCTTTTTAACTCCGGCACCCCTAAACGCACCCTGCCGTCCCGATCGATTATATCGAACTCCCGTCTTTGTCATTCGTAGTCGATTCACGAGTTAGTCTGTTAGTCGACGTTATTCCAGATCGAGTTCCAAGGGTGAATTCATTGCTCGAGGGTTGAAGGGTTCGAATACCAAGATAACTCGGAATTCGACAGAGGAAACCATTCCTATACAATTTGGCTAGAGTTTCGTGAATCAAGAAGAAATGCATGGTTTCTTAGTTTCGATCATAAGTTTGAGGCAGTTGAACATTTTTTTAACTAGATTATTAAATAAGTGGAGTGTTTGTGAGCTAACTCTTTAAGAAATGTAGTCTATCTACTTTGGAGCAATTAGCGCCTATACATATCAAATTATAGTAATGGCCCCACACAGGTGATGGTCCAATTAAGGTCCCCTATTAACGGATGATATCGATAGTGCAGTGATTAATGTACCCTGTAGATATTAGATTGATTTCATTTCTTAATATGTGGAATATCATTGTGAATTCATAGAAGATCCTTTCAGCCAGTAATTTTATATCAAGCATTAACAATATTACCTTCAATTTAAATTCTACTGAAATAAGAGATCTAAAAATTCATGCCCTCAGATTTGACTGACATGAAAAATGTTACCATTATACCTATCCGTTTAAATTCATAGTCAACATTTCCTTAGAAATCAAAGAAAGATATTTAAATTATCTTTTCTCGTACGAAGAAAGGTAAATTTCGAAGGTAGCATTCCACGGAGCTTTGCTTTAAAACAAGGATAAAGCTTCCGTGGCAAAAGAGATCTTACAAGGCAATACTTGGCTATTTCCTTTTCCCATTTGTTTGCTGCTTCCTGCTCGTTGACGTATTTAAGTATTTTTCAATATCACTGTTCCGTCTTGTTCCCCGTGTTAGGTGTACCGCACAAAGAGGAAAGCAATCTCGCGAATGCCTACGGAGAAGCGTGTCTCTCCTCGAGGACACGGTGTAATTTAAACACGGCGAAGACATCGCGACGGAATCTCGGAAAACACGAACGCTATTCCGTTCTTCGTAGACAGCTCGCGAAAATGAATTCGCGAGGTCGACCGAGGCGTTCAGATTAAAAGCAATGATGCGGCGAAAAAAATTTCAAAACTACAAAGGTACTGATAAGATCAAGGTCGGTCAGATAAACTCATTTAGCGAAAATAGTGATTCGATGAATTACGAAAATTTCGAATTTTAAAGTCCATCGAATCTCCTGCTTCTACTTCTAACCTTGTCTAACTAAAATTATCTCACAAATTTACGTCATAAATTTCAAGAATCCATTAGAGTGTATTAGCAATACAGTTCCATAGAAATTGTATCTGACTCACCCTCCTCGTCGCTGCCGATCATGGCGTAACGCTCGTATCCTGTGAGGTTCCTCACTGCACCCAGACCGAAGTCGTCCTTTGTCCATTGAATAGGTCCCTTCTGGTCAAGGACCCGGCAAGGAAGCGTCACTCGGCTGCCAATCACCGCCGTTTGATCCATCGGCTCGATCGCGAATCGCTGATAAACTACTTCGGTAGTCGTGATTGGTTTCACAGTGGATGCGAATGGTGACACGTTCGTCATGTTCGCCGCCGACGACGTTGTCCTGGTTCCCAATGTCAGTAGCAACGACAGCCAGATTATAAACGGCGTCGTCGATCGTGTACCCCTTGTTCTCCTGCTGGAAATCAAATTGTCATGTCATTCGCTGAAAACTGTTTCACTATTCTAATATTTATTACAACAATTCTCTGATGCAAATATCTTAAATTAAAAATCTGGTCATCGTTACTAAAATTATTATATGAATATAAATATAATTATATAATTTGAGATGTTACCCAAAGTATACTTGCAAGATTAAGACTTTTTCAGGGAACATAAGTGAATGTTTCAAAATTATTATATGAGTATAAATATAATTATATGTATAATTTGGGCATGCAATTTGAGATGTTACCCAAAGTGTACTTGCAAGATTAAGACTTTTTCTGAGAACATAAGTGAACGTTTCAAAATTATTATATGAATATAAATATAATTATATGTATAATTTGGGTATGTAATTTGACATGTTACCTAAAGTGTACTTGCAAGATTAAGACTTTTTCTGGGAACATAAGTGAATGTTTCAAAATTATTATATGAGTATAAATATAATTATATGTATAATTTGGGCATGCAATTTGAGATGTTACCCAAAGTGTACTTGCAAGATTAAGACTTTTTTTGGGAACACAAGTGAACGTTTCAAAATTATTATATGAATATAAATATAATTATATGTATAATTTGGGTATGTAATTTGAGATGTTACCCAAAGTATACTTGCAAGATTAAGCCATCTTTTAGGAACCTAATGTTTCAAAACAGCAAATAAAGTACAATCTAAATATCGACCACAGTAAACTTTTTATTCGTCTCAATGTGACTGCAGAATTTTTAACAAAATATATTTGAAATCGAGATAGTGTTCTAATCCGAATGTTCAAGCGCGGTTTTCACGAAGTTCAGACAAATCGAGGCAGTCAAATGCCTAAGTAGAACAAATAGGGGTAGTCAGGCGGTTCTAAAGGAAAATAGAGCAGCCCATAACGAAGCGGTTTGAACGATTAAAAGCCGACAGAGTCGTAGCTGCGTGAACAAGCATCGTGCCATAAATTTAAGGCTCGTTGTCAGGAATCACCTGTGCTTTTAAAACGCGACAATGTTTGCGCGTAGCTTACGAACGACGCGGAGCCGTCGTAAATTAACGCTCGAGTCGGATCGAGAAGAGGTCAACAATCGATTCACCGATCCGAACGCGACATAAAGGCGGCATTAATAGCGCGATGCTCGTAACGCACTTATAGCGTCGCAATAATATTCTCTCGGTCGTCGTTAAAAGCGAGGGCTGGTTGGGCGAGTTCGTTATTTAACTTTCTTCACCCCCGTTTTTTCCCTTCCTCGTTCCACGGTTCAAGCTTGTTTAACGATCTCCCAGACGGTTGTACACGCCGCTTTACCTTCGAACCGTACTTATTTATCTTTATGGTCCCATCGGATTCGGAAACGAGAACCTAGGCCCGGGAAAAGTCGTCGCTGCAAATGGCGCGATAAAACTATACCAGGTACCGGTAATTTACTATTGCATTCTACAGCGGTACTTCTACGAACAAGTGCTTCGTATTATCAGCAGATGTAAATCAATTTAAGTTCAATGTTAAACGGTTTTTATTTAGATTAATATTTCCCTTTCTCACTGATATAATTTATGATTTTTGATCAATGACTGCAGACTTTTATTAGCTTCTGTCAGGAGCTTTTTTCTGGGGACAAGATAAAAATAATGAATGTCCAAAGTTACAAATCTGAAAGATGTAGAATTTGGTTCCGTGAAGAACCATTGTTACAGTGCATCGTTACTGATGCCACCATTATGAAGAGCGTTAGACTTTATCCATCGTTTGTTTTTTCCTCTCCTTCACGAAGGTAATTCCGTTTCGTTACAGCGAAAAATACAACACGCTGCCGGCAATTATTACGTCGGCGACGTTTTACGAGGACAAAGAGCGACGATCTTGTCGGGTAACGACGCCAGTGGAAGATCCACGCTAAACGATCGAGAAATACTTTAATAAAACTCGATCAACTCCGTCGTCGTTGCTGCGACAATTACGTTCGTGGCTCGGAGGGATGGGATCGATATTGAAATTTTTCGTCGCGAATACTTGGTTGCGCTTTCTCGTTCGCGTAATCGAACAGATCGGTCAGCCGGCTTTGCTATTACGTAGAAATTCCTCGATTCTTCTCTCTATTCTCGAGTTCGAACGAGAAACGCAACAGTCAGGCGACGAGTGGTCCGCTTAATCGTTCCATCGACCTCTCAATTAACTTTCATTCGTCTGGCTGACGCTCGAATCGCTCCACGTCGCGTCTGTACCGCTTGTCCGCTTGTCTCGATGAAAAGATTTATGGTTATACCGTTTGATAGTCATCAGAGTTCATATGGAACTTTCGATCAGGCTCCAGCGGTTGCTCGTGAGGCAACGCACATTTATCGATGGAGTTGCATACAAGATTACGAATAGATTCTCTTGTTGTCGCAATCGATCTTTCAGCAGTAATTTAGAACATTAGCTTGTAATTTCTTTATTTTTATATTTTTACGTTTCTGAAGGCTCCACATTTCTAACACAAGCTCACATGTGAGTTGAACGTAGTAGATTACCACGCAGGTATTTGTATTCCATCTTGGATTCTAAACGAAATCCTCCGTGTGCTCGTTTCTCGCTTCGGTACACTTAAATCGTCATAAATTGCTCGTTGAACGTGGGTAAGATGGCGGCGGCAAGTTAACCCGGCACACGTGCGTCAACTTGTCCGTAATTTCTCATCTTTTGTGCTCTGCGCGTAAACACGGCACGCATGCACCGTTTGGAAAGCATTTCGCTGGTTACACGTCTCGGTCGTGTTTCTTAGGGGCGGAAAGTTGGAGGCAGGCGTCTGTTGTGACAACGTCGGAGCGACGGTCGCGTCTCATTGCTCGCGACACAAGGAAGGATGTCGTAAGACGGCTCGTACGACATCGCGTGGCCTGCTGCGTCTTACGAGCTGAATAGGATAATAACCTCGGATGGTCGGACTACCGACCGAACCATTTCAATACACGTAATGGGCGTAATAATAATTGCGCTTGTGCCCGTCGTTCTCTCTGCACAACGGAGCTTTGATACGTGTCCGGGTAACGCATCCTATGTGGGCCACGTTTCCTGTCGTCGTTGACAAATGCCTGGATCGGTTGCGGTTTTGCGGCACGAATCGATAGGCGGCACTTTAACGCCGTTCTCAGGGATTCCTCGTTTCCGTGGGAAATGAAAATAGCGAACGTTTCCTCCAGCCGAAGAAATCTCGATGTTGCATACCAATTCCGTGGAGAACGGATAAAGAGAAACGCCTACGATCGCGCACGAGGACAACAAAAAAGGAGACGCCGCGGAAGCGAGATTCCATTAAACGACCGATATTTTTCTGTCGCGGCTTCTATTTTCGCCTGGAAATAAGCTCGATGTTCGCGCCGAACCAATCAGCCTCCGGGCGAGTCGGAATGGACCCGCTAACGGAATAGCGAAATTTCTGAAGTTCATGAAAATTAGGTTAACCGATCGAATTGTCTTGTTTTGAACGATTCTTTCGAGTCCAACTTTAATTCTGTTAAGTCGGATTTAAGGACAAAACTGTTGTGTCTGATTGTTTCTTCCAATTTCACGTAATTTCTTTCCAGCAACGACTGCAATTCCCGTTCTGTATTTTTCTTTAATTACATCGGTTCTTTAACGTCGTTTCCCGAGGGAAGTGAATTCTGATACATAGGTCCTTTGAGACGTTTTATTTCCTTCACGAATAGTATATAATACAAGTAGGAAATTTGACCTTGAATTTAGAGGTCAAGGTCAAAATCTTCACTGTAGTATACACAGAGGTTACGAGTTTACAGATTACCAAATGTAACTATATTTTGTAATTTATTCGAAGGACGATCCTAATGGCTGTCGTCCAAATTTATTTTGAATCGATTACAAAATGGTCTGCTACGCCCGAACTCTGTCCTGATACTAAAGAACGTTCCAAAAAGAACCTTCCAAAAGGTACACGAATTCTAATCATTGGCATTTAATCGTTTTCGATCGAACAGCAACCGAAGGTTTCTCCTGTTATTTAACCAGTCTGACATTATAATTCAGGGATTACGTTGTAACGGCCAACGACGACGTGATAAATAATCATCGACAGCAAAAATTTCGAAAATTTATCGGCCAGCCATCGGCATTTTTCCGCGTACCAAACAGCGTTCCATCGACGGTCCAATCTGTGGAACGATGCCTCGCAAATCAACGATTTTTAACCATTACCGGCCGCGTCGCGATTTCGTTGTCCCTGTACGGTCGTTCGTTACGTTCACAAATACGAGGCATAATCGCAACTCGACCGAAACAAATGGATCGGCGAGTCGTTAAAAAATTTCACGAACTGCAAAAAAAAACACGGCGGCGGCAAAATATTCGTTAGCTTTTATCCAACGAACGGTTGAAAGGTAATTAAAAGTTCCGATGCTACACGTAACGAGGTTAATGGGACGCCCCGTGGTGCCCGGGCTTACAAAACTCAAGGCTGGATTTCAGTTGCATCGAAACGTAAACTAACGTCGATTGTGTCGTTAAATGGAAACGGGCACTACGGTCGTGTTCTTTTATCGTTAAGCATTTACCGTTCGATCAATCGTTTGTAATTTCGCTAATTCAAGTTCGATTCGTACAAATCAGAGCCAGATTGTACATTTGTGGTTTGAGTATTTTTGAGAGTTACATCTTTTCATGCTGTTTATGTTGAAATTTCCACAAGACTAAAATTTTTAAATTCTTAAGAAAGATCCATCATCAAACCTTAAAGATCAAATGCTTAACACCAAAACTACCAAACCGGTGAAATGACCGCTCCACAAGTTTCTTATTATAAGGTACACATTTTGTTAAAATACATTCCTTCATATCAACATTGATTTCCATTAAGATAAAGAATAAATGTGTGCACTAATTAATGTTTCATTTGCTTATTTATTTTTTAACTTCATTTTTAATTTCAAGTTAAGTGCACATTATACGCCGTTAAAGATTCCATGGTCACCCGAGGTCTCAAATATCC